TGGTTCAACTGTTGTAGAATTAAAATGTTATTTCCTAATATGTCTTCTTTACACAATTATTAGAAGAATTAGATGATTTTGTCCAGTGGCATAGGAAAGTATAAATAATCTTACCTATTATTTATTGAGCATTTACCAGATAGGATACTAAATGCTTTACATTCATATCAACAGATCCTCAGAGCAACCCTTTGAATTAAATGAGAAGTAAGTGAATTATACTCAGATACTGTAGTGTCTGCTCAAGAAAGTATGGATAATAAGTGACAAGCCTGGGATTCAGTCATCCCTTTCCAACCTGTATTTTTAACTACTAGCTATAATACTTTTCCGTGTTTGGGCTAAACGATAAGGTAAAGACATGCTCTAAGATATTTCTTGAACTTCAGGCACCATGTAGTACAAATGGTCAACTGCCCCTGGAAACCTGTTTTTCCAAATGTGTTTCCACTTTCATAAGCAAATTCAGACAGTTATGAAAACCTCAGCAAAAATACTTCCGGGCATAAACTCCATCTGCTCCACAGATAAAGCTCATAGCATATTCTTTCTCTCTTGCCGCATCATTTTATCTGAATCTAATAATTATCTTGTTTATTGCTTAGCTTTTTATCTCTGTTTCATCAGTTCAATGTAGGACTCTCCCCACACTGGGTATATTTCCTGCCAACATATCTAAATGCATTGGTAGCTCTACACTTACATATTATTGGGGAAGTCTCCAGGAGTTTTCTGGCCTGAGTTCATCTGGACTGCTTGCTCTCCAGGCCTGCTGCAGTCAGTTGCCTTAAGCTATTTCACTGTCATTCTGGGGATTCCCTTTATCTTACTTGTCAGTGGGACACTGGGTTCCTAGTTACCATGTTTCTTGCTTTACAGCATCATTTTGGTGTCAAATAACTCTATGAAACTTCTTTAAAAGTGGTGTATACAAAAAAAATTATTGAAAATGTGGACATCTAACATTTGACAAGAGGTAAAGATACTGTATTTTTAAATCTAGAAATTTATTACATTTCACCAGACAGCTTACTTTCAGCTTTATTAAGTTTGAAGATTTGTTGTCTTTTCTATCTAGTATATCTGAGTGCTTTGGTGTGTGTGTGTGTGTGTGTGTGTGTGTGTGTGTGTGTGTGTGTGTGTGTGCGCGCGCTTTATATACCCTCTAACCCACATGTGTAGGAAGAGCAACGCCACTTCTTGAAGTTTCACCATGTTCTCGGGGATTGTCATTCATTTGGCAGGGCTCCCAACTTGTAGCACTCCCTCAGGGTCTCCAAAATAGCCAGGGTTGGCACCCAGAAGATTTTTCAATTTATATGAACTTATTCTGAAAGTACAGAAAAAAAAATGTGCATGTGTGTGCTTATTTTTAATGTACTCTGGAGATTCTATAACAAAATATTACAAACCATGTGACATATAAACAAGATCAAGGCTCTGGCAGAATCTGTCTTCTGGGAGTTCATTCTTGTGGGCAACATGTGGTGTGAATCACCAGTGCCCTTAAAGAGAAGGCAGAAAGTTCCTCGTCCTTCTCACTGTGTCCCTACACGGTAGAAGGGTCAGAGCTCTCTGGAGCCTTTTCTCTGAGACACTAATCCCGTTCATCAGAGCTCAACCTCTGTGACTCAAAAACCCCACCTTTAGCACCGTGGGTCACAATTTCAACACATGAATTTGGGGGGAGCAGAAGTATCCAGACCATAGTGGACACAATCTGATATCTTTCCAACCAGTGAATATATATTCTTTAAAATTCATTTTATGCCAAGAATGTGGTGGCACATGCCTGTAATCTCAGCAGCTCCAGAAGCTAACACAGGAGGATCATGAGTTCAAAGCCAGGCTCAGCAAAAGTGAGGCACTAAGCAATTCAGTGAGTCCTTGTCTCTAAATAAAATACAAAATAAGCCTGGGGATGAGGCTCAGTGGTCAAGTGCCACTGAGTTCAATCCCTGGTACCCCCGCCAAATTTGTTTTATGTGATGCATGATTTTACAGGAATTTATTATCTTTATAATTTAGTAGGAAGCCTGATATGTCTCTCAAAACGAGTTTAAAACATTTTTGGCAATGTCCTTCTTTTAAAGTTGGCATTTGACTTTGTTTAATCAGAGCTTACAACTCACTCTTATTAGTTACTTTTTAAAATTAATTAATATTTTCTTTTTATTCTAATGCATTACAATTCATATTACACATATAGAGCACAATTTTTCATATCTCTGGTTGTATATAAAGTATATTCACACTATGCATGTCTTCATACTTGTACTCAGAGTAATGATATCCATCTCATTCCACCATCTTTTTTACCCCTTCCCTTCCCACCCTTTTGCCCTATTAGTTACTTTTTAAAAAAATTTTAAACTCTGCTTTTTTTTGAGTTTACAATACAGTCTGAATAACTGTAGTCAGCACAGTACACATTAGATGTCTTGAACTTACTCATAACTGAAAGCTTTTATCCTTTGACCAATATCTTTTTCATCCCCCTCACCCAGAGCCTGATAACCACCATTCTACTTTCTGTTTCTATGAGTTCAACTTTTCAAGATTTCCCCTATATAAGATATGGTGTAATGATTGTCTTTCTGTGTCCAAGTTATTTCACTTAGAATAATGTCCTCCACCTTGTTGCAAATGGCAAGATTTCTTTTTTTTAAGATCAAATAATGTTTTCTTGCATATGTATATATCAATATCACAATTTATTTATCCATTCATCCAATGAGCACCTATGTTATTTCCATACCTTGAGGTTTTGTGAATAATGCTGCAATGAATAGAAGAGTGCTGAAATAGCCAAGAGTCCAGGTGCCTCTTCAAGGTCATGGTTTCATTTTCTTTGGATACATACTGCAAATCCAGTAGCTTTACAGGTGTGGCACAAAGATGGCACGTGTTTTATAATGATATATTTTAATACACACACACACATGCACATGCACATACACATAATTTTTTCCACATTTTTATTGGTACATTATACATAATGGTGGGATTTATTGTTACATACTCATACATACACACAATATTAACAATATAATTTGGTCAGTATCCCTCCTCAGTATTTTCCTTTTACTTCCCCTCCTCCCTCGCTCTGGTCCCTTTCTCCTGTTGTTCTTCTCGGTCTTCTATCTTCTATTTTCATGAAATCCCCCACACTTTTCCATTTTCCCTTCTAGCTCTCAAATATAAGAGAAAATATACAACCCTTGACCTACTAAATTTGACTTATTTTGCTTAACATAATATTTGCAATTTCCATTAATTATCCTGAAAATGAAACAATTTTATTTTTCTTTATGCCTGGGTAAAACTCCATTGTATACACATGCACTTTTGATGCATAAAACACACATTTGTACACTAAAAGAGTGCTTTTAAGGTGAAGCAGGAGGCATCACAATACCAGACCTTAATTATACAGCAGAGCCATAGTAACAAAAATGGCATGGTATTGGTACCAAAACAAAACAGAGACCAATGGCAGAGAATAGAAGACACAGAAGACTCAGAGTTTACAACAGAGACCACAAAGCCCCAAATCCTTCTCTCTGAACTCTGAACCGAAAAAGTTTGCCAACCCATGATCTAGAGCTCCCAAAGGGCCATAATAATACTTGGTTGTCATTTTAATGTCCACTTCATGAAGGAAGCTTTAAGGGTTGCAGTATCCGAAAAAAAAGAGAATCAAATTTTCTTATTAAATCATACACACTGGAGTTCCCAAATCTTCTTGAGTTCTTAATTGGAAGCCAATATATTTCGGCAATAATTTAAGGCCAGTATAATTTCTTATGAAATTTCACATAACAAGAAACGGGTTGAGAACATCCCATCTCCTTCTTTAAACCTTTTCTTTACAATGAATAAATTACTTGTCTTAGATTTGGCTATCCTCCTGCTGCTTCACTGGGCCTCAAGGTTATGTGGACATGGTGATCTAGATTCACAATATCTAGACAGGTGGAATCTTTTCTTTCTTGTGTATCCATTAGCAAAATGTTCTACTATATATTGCCACATGGTATTCCTTATCCTTCTGCAAAACACGAAGTACCAAGCAAGGCTATTCTTTATGGAAACTTTTACATACTACTACATTTGTAGTAGTATGTAAACTACTACATTTGATTCATTTGTATCAATGGATGGAAATGTCCCTGCATCTTTTAGTCCTTCCATTTTCACACTATGGAATAGATTTGTGACTTACTGATTTTTAGTTTTGTAGGAGAAACTGTGTTTTTCTATCATATATCTAGTGACAAATGAGCATTTCTCCAAGGGTAGCTACCTCAAATATTACAGGGAAGACCCAAGGAAGGACAGCTGTCTTTTCACACTTTGAGGCAGAGCCAGAGCAATGCTCTATGCAACACACACACACACACACACACAAGCACACACACAATTTTATGCAATTTATTAGAGCCCTATATTAGTTTGGGAATGTGTATTATTTTTGTGATGTGTCTTTAACTACTCTTCACATGTATGTGTCCATTCTTCCCAATTTATAAAATGATTTCTGGAAAGAAAGATTTTATCTTCAATTTTGTTTAATATTTATTGATTTTTCTCTTTCCCTATTAGGGCATTGTACTAGCTAAATAATTTAAAGTATTTTTATTTTATTTCTTTAGGTTAATAAAGAGCCAAGATCTATCTCTTGTCAAATATAATCATCCTCACTTTTACCAACTATTGCTATAACAAAGTATTATTTGATATTAAACCTTGTTGAATTATAATTACCAACTATTGCTATAACAAAGTATTATTTGAGATTCAACCTTTGTTACAAAAATATATGTTTACATGTGCATGCCATGTGACATTATCAGGCTATCATTCCTACTAAATTTTTATCCAAAATGGCATTTAGACTGTATGTTGACTTATAGTTTTAATTAGTTAACATTGGGACTATACTTTGCTGGAACATTCTCATGTACTTTTGGGTTTGTTTGTTTGTTTTCACCTTTCAGGTGTACAAGAATTCCCAGAAAATATAAAGTGCTGTAAGTGTTTAACAATTATTGAAGCCAGTGTCAATCCCATTTCTAAGTGAGTATAAATTATTTAATTTCATTTGCATTTATGTTCTTCTTGGATGATAATATACTAAAATAATGAAATTTATAATAATAACCGAATAATTGAATCATAAATGTAGCTTTGATATAGCCTTTAATAAAATGATGGGAAACACATAACCAAGTCAGAATAGTTCTACAAAAGATGATTTAAAACATTGCTGAATAGGAATGGTGCCAACTGGCACAGGATATCATTGTTTTGAAGCAAACTGTGTCATCATTTTTCCGGAGCTCTCAAACTACATTCCATGGATGATCGTCAAAACTAATAAACACTTATTAGTTCTTTTCATAGTAGGAAATTAGTATTAAGGATCTTATGGAAATTCAAGAGAGTTCAAGACTTTAAAATATTGATAAATAGATTAAGAAATCTGTACAGATAAAAAAATTAAATATGGCTATAAATTGGAAGTATTTGTATATGAGGGATTACAGAAATGGCAAAGAGAACAACCTATGAAGATAGCAGAATAGAAGGTACAAGTGATAAGGATGTTAGGATCAGAGAAGAAGGGTTTTGTGACTTAAGATCTACTAAGGAATTCTATGGAAAAATAAGATTTTGAGATGACCATGACTTGAGAGTGTGATGTAGTGATAGAGGTCTATGGGATCCAGTAAAGAAATTGTGATGGGAATGGCTTGGATAAGTCATGAGACTGAATGGAAAAGCATGAGGTGGAAATAGAACCTAGAAGGCTATTCACAGTTGTAGTACTGTTTGGGATAGATTAAAACAAATCTGTGGTATTGGGATGCAGGTAATAAACTTTCCAAGAAAGAAGGTGTTAATTATACCAAACTGACTTTGGGATTTGAGCAAAATCTCTCAGCTCTTTGTCTTCATTAAGCTGGGGAGGCTGGGAAAAAGCTCACTGGGAAGGCATTTAATGAACGGGGGTATTGTCTATAAGAAGACAAAGAAGTTAATCAAAGAGAAAGAAGCAGAAGAGAAATTTCATACCAGCGTGGTTGAGGAGAGGGACCTGTCATTTCCTATGGATCATGGCGTAAGACTGCACATGAGACCAGGGATGAGGCAGAAGTTTAGAAGGAGGTCTTTATGCAAGTGGTTTATGAAATAATTTGAGTCCCTTTGTAGAAAGTGTGGAACATCAAACAATAAAATGTGTTTGAACGTTATAGTGTTTCTATCTCAAAAATAGAATATGGAGAGAGAAAACCCAAAACAAAACCCAAAATTCTTTGAGCAAATATGATTTTTTCCAACATGTCCACAAAAATAGATGTCACTACAAACACCTTAACCTGAGTCACATGATCCAGCAGAGATGACAGATTGTTTTGTTTTGATTTTTTTCCTAATTCTTTAGTTCTGATAGTTTCTATAATTTAGGAACTATCGTAGTTCTTTGGTGGTAGAAGCCAGGTGATAAATTGTATCTTTTTTTAAAAAAAAAAATACTCTTTTTTTTAAAGATGTTGATGGACCTTTATTTTATTTATTTATTTATTTATATGTGGTGCTGAGAATTGAACCCAGTGGCTCGCACATGCTAGGCAAGTGCTCTGCCACTGAGCCACAGCCCCAGACCCTAAATTATATCTTTACAAAGTTTAAAGACGGTAGTTTTATGGAATGTTTCTGAATTACATTCACATATTGAACTTTTAAAAGATGAAAGACACAACCTGTTTCATTTTTAAAAAGAAGTTTAACGCTCTAAACATTAAGCAGTTTGGGAATTCATAAAATATGACTCGAGAAAAGTAAACTTAAGCAGTATATTAATTCTCAAAATCAAGTTTTTAAAGATATAAGATGCATAAGTAGGTTCATCCACTTTTGGTGTATGAGTCAATGAATTTTAATAAATGTACATAGTCACGTAGCCGTCACCAGAACTAGATACAGATGATTTTCAACATCCCAAAAAGTTCCCTAAACCCAATCATACCCTGTAATCTGATTAATATCCCCATAGTTTTACCTTTCCAAAATGTCGTATAAATGATATATATCAGATACTTTGGTGTCTTATTTCTTTTACTTAATATATGATTAGGAGATTTGACTATAGTGTTTCAATATCAATACTTAATTCCTCTTTATTGGTAGGTAGTATTTCACTGTATGGATAGAACATGATTTGTGTATCTATCTGTTGTCAGCCATCTAGGTTGTTTCCACTTTTGGACTACTATGAATACTGCTTATATAAATTAAGTACAGGTGTATGTATGAGTGAGTTTTCTTTTGTATTACATAAATATCTGGGTAATATAGTAACTGTGTGTTTAACCTTATGAGAAAACTTCAAAATTGCTTTCCCAAAGAGCTATTAAATTGAGCATTCCCAACAGCAATGTATTAGAGTTTCAGTTATTGTTTGTCTGTGTCCCCATTTGGTGCTATAAGTTTTAATTTTTTTAATTTTAGCCAAACTAGTTAATGTGTTATCTCATTACGGTTTTAATTTACATTTTAAGGCATAATTAGTATCTTGCCTTGTACTTATTTTAAAAATATATTGCTTCTCTTTTAATGATTCCAAATTTTTGTTGACACATTTTTATTACTGAATTAAAAAATTGATAACATATTTTAAATACAAGGCCTTTAGCAGATATCTGTTAGTGAATATTTGCTCCAATTCTATATCTTATCTCTTTGTCTTCTGAATAGTGTCCTTTAAAGAGAAGTTTTGATTTTGATGAAATCCTATTTAATAATATTTTATGATCTGTGCTCTGTTTTCCTAAGAGCTCTTTGCTAAATTCATAGTTATAACAATTTTGCCTGCACTTTCTTCTGGAACTTTTTATAGCTTAGGTTTTAGATTTTACATTTAAGTCTGTGTTCATTTAAAGTTGACTTTTGGAGATGTGTGAGGTTTAAGCGCTGTGGTTCACTTCTTTGCACATAGACACCTAGTTGTTCAATACCATTTGTTGGAAACATTATCTTTTCATTATAGAATTACCCTAAGTACCTTTATTGAAAATCAATTGATACATGTTTTGGCCCATAGCTGGATTTTCTACTGTGTTATATTAATCTATATACTTGTTCTTACCCTACTTCAATGCTGTCTTAGCTTTATAGTAAATCCCAAAAATCAGGGAATAAGAATCCTTCTTTTACCTTTATTCTTCTTCATCAAAATTGTTTGGACTATTTTATGACCATCACTCTATATAAATTTTATAATGAGCTTGCCAATTTCTTCAGAGATATAAAATCCTGCTGGCATTTTTATAGTCATTGCCTTGAACCTGTAGCTTAATTTGACTCACATTGGTGTCTTTAAAATATTTAGCATTATCTCTGAGCATAGTATAACTACATACTTTTGGAGGGGGGGTAATTCTTTTATCAAGGTTTTATGGGTTTCAATATATAAATATTGCACCTTTTATTTATTTTCCTGAACATTTCATGTCATTTGTGCTATTGTAGATTATTTTATTTATAACTCCAATTGTTTATTACTATTATGTATAAATAATTGATTTATATATATCCACCTCATATCCTTCAACTTTAGTCCTAGTGGATTGTTTCTGCAGATTTGAGGGAGATTTTCTATGTAAGCAATAATGTCATCTGTGAATAAAATAGTTTTATTATTTTTCATCTGTATGCCATTTATTTTTCTTGCCTTATTATCTTGGCTAGGTCCTCCTTTACACATTGAATACAAGAAGTGAGAACAGAAATCACTGATTTGCTTTCAGTCTTAGTGAGGTAGACTTTCGCTATTATGTGTTATTTATTACCTTTTGGCATTTACCAGTCTGTGACCACTACTTGGTTTTAAAGCCACTCCACATTATTAGGAATTAGTTACAGCAGAGCCCCATTCCAAGTAGCAAAATCGGTGTTCATTTCCTAATGCTATGTAAGAAATCACCATAAATTTAGCAGCTTAAAACAACATGTACTCATTATCTCTCAATTTCAGTGGTTTGGAGTGGTTCAGGAATCTAGGCATGGGTTCCCTGCTTCATGATTTCACCAGACTGTAATCAAGGTATGAGTTGAGCTGTATTCTCAACAAGAGACTTGCTGGAGAACAATACAAGTCAGAATCCAACTTACTTTGTTGACAAGTTCATTTCCCCATTGTTATAAAGCTGTACATCCTAGCTTTACCCTAGTTGTCAGCTAGAGGCTACTCTTGGGACCTGAAGGCTGTATATAGTTCCCTGCCACATAATCCTTTCCACAGGCAGCTCACAGCAGGAAGTTTGCTTCTTTAAGGACAACAATTGAGTAAGAGTGAGTGTTCTGGTAAGATTGAGTCTTCTAATATAACATAGTCATGGTAGTGTACAATTTGCCACATTCTGTTGATTAGTAGCAAATCATAGGTCCTACCAACAATCAAATGGGTATGCTTCAAAGGCATGAACATCAGGAGGTGAGGATCAAGGGGGCCACCAGAGAAAGTATTCATCACACCTTTTATATCTGTTTTGCTGACAGTTTTTTTTTATCATCAATGGTTGCTGAATATTTTCAGTCACCTTTTTGACATCTATTGACATAATCATATGGTTTTTCTCCACTTGTCTGATCGTAAGATGATTGGCATTGATTTTTTTTTTTCACATCAACCTGACTTTACATTGCAGGGATACACTCCACTTGGTCAAGAAGTATTATTCATTTTTCTGTATCAATTGCTGTAATATTTGTTGATGGTCTTTCCGTCTATATTCATGAGGCATATTCTTCTGAAGTTCCTTTTCTTGTAATTTCTTTGCCTGCTTTTGCCTATCAGGGTAAAACTTCATAAAATGAATTGGAAAATGTTCTGTTCTATTTTCCATAAGAAATTGTATAGAATTCGGTATTTTTCCTTATTAAATATTGGCAGATTTTGTCAGTGCAGCCATTCAGGCCTGCAGTTTTCATTATAAGAATGTTTTTTATTGCAAATTGAATTTTTATAATAACTGTATGGTACTTCAGACTACCTGTTTCTTTTTAAGTGACCT